AAATAAACTGGAGAACAAAGAAAGCTCATCTGCCAAACTTGGTTCAGAAATATATAAACCAAGCAAATATAGCCTTGATGAAACATTAGGGGGGTGGTTTGGCCCCTACGTGATATGATACGATATTTTCACACTCGCTGAAATTTCAGATTACTCAATATTAAGACGCGCGTACGTCTTTAACAGTGTGTTTGCTTTACATTCACTTTACACGTAATTGGTATCCACCCTAGGCAGACTTTTAGGTTTGCCTTCGAAAATAAATTGCATCAACTAATACATCTTTCATTATCTATTCTTGTGATGAAATGACACAAAATCCAGGTAAAATAAGTCATAAGCATAAAACTAACTTAATTACCTGGTAATGCTTACAGTACCGCTTACTGTCTGCATATGATGTCCATAAACTGGTACTGCCTGGACAATACTCATTATTTTTCTGATCACATCTTTTAAAACGTCACTGTTATATAGTTTGTCCTGAAAAATCAAATACATGAAATGTTATACCTTTGGCACACACCAAATACCTTTACATGATGTACAATGTACACAAAATCATGATCAACATTCAGAATTCTTTTTGCTTTCATTGTAACTTTTTTTGTAACTTTTTGCAGTGTCATTTTCCCTCTTTTGAAGACAGGACTTCTACATTAGGCGGTAATTCTCTATGAATTCACAGGGAGTGATAACAATTAAATCTAGTTTTAGCAAAGGAGGCGTTCACATGTCAGATTTTAATGTTAAGTTCATAACTTTACATTACTCTCCATATACATAGTTATAACGACTTGATGACTGCACCTTTAGACAGCAGATGTGCTGGTGGAAGAAATGTTCTGAACTTTTTCCTCCTTCCTGTAATGGGATGACTAATATGAACTACGATTCACAACCAACACCAACATCAAGTTATAATGTATACACATGCATATTTTGTTGTCTTCTGTAATCATAAAAAACTGAAACATTTAAAACCCTCCATAAAGTTCACACTCATTATAACACTGCTACATGTAGCGCTGTTTAACTGTAAATCAATTTAAGTGAAACTGTTGAAACCCCCCGAGGGGGGGTACTCCCTTATATGGGCTATATAGGTATGTGCGGCCCCAAAAGGTATGGTTTTTCAGCCGTTTTGGTCATAAATAGGGTATCGATTTTAGCTGATTTTGGCCATTTTGGTCATAAACAGGGTATGGTTTTTGCACTCTAACTATGATATGGGTATTTTGTTTAAGAAGAAGCCACGTTTTCGTCATCATCGAAAAGAAAACAAACAGAAGCCCTTCACCAATTATGTTTAGGGTAATTTAACATTGGTCTGAACTAGGGAACTAATTGCAACACAGGTCTGAAACAGGGTTTTGATTTAAGGGTCGCGTCATAAATCAGGTTTTGAATTTATGGTCAGGTCATCAATAGGATAGGGAATATCGCAGATTTTGGTCATAAATAGGGTAAGGGTTTTGGGAAGCGGGGCGCACACCCTCGCCTAACTTTTCTGGGAGTACCCCCCTTCCAACCGCCCTCCCCCACTCCTGGGATTGAAACAGTTCTGTCAAAATTGTTTCTAGCAGTTACGGCAGGATAGCAGAATATACATGTAGTACAAAGTAACGGCCAGATGTTAGTTATTAGTTAGGATTTTGTGAGCTTTTGTGTTAGGTATGGTGGAAAACAATGGACTCTAGGTTGCAAAAATGAAGGTTCCTGAGACATTTCGACAGGGCTAAGAGCAATTACTATATTTACAAAAGAAGGAGAAGTTCTGGCCTGTCCAGTTCTCTGTCATAAAAATATCTTTTACACACATTTGTTATATATGGCTTGTGTTTTAAGCTGATAAAATTCTCGCTCTGATTGGTTAATTCTAGTGCATTATTTACATTTACATGGTATACGTTGGTAAAATCGTAAAACATCACGTGTGACAAAAATAAAAAAATATGAAATGCCTAATTTATAATAAATTTAAAAATACACTTAAACGAGTCTACTTCTTTACTTGAAAATTGTGGCTGCTTCTAGGTAACTTCACCAGAAGAGTTTCAAACCCAAAACGACCTTTATTCACAGGTAGCGAGTACTGCTCGGCGTACAATTTGCTTCCTTAACACTGAATTACACGGATGTACGATTTACCCGAGATAACAATCTGGATGACAAAAATGAAAAGAAATAAACTTATATACTGACACATCGCCAAGAAAAAGACTCACAACAATTCGCAAAAGGTACAAAAAACTGTTTCTCACCGTTTAGGTAACACATGATACGATCCGATGGAAAACGATTTTGTTTACATCTAAGCACCACGCGATGCGAAAACACAAATTGGCGGAAAGCATGACTAGTGAGCGGTTACCTAGCACTTGAAGAATGTCCGCTGATACACAATCTGGCTGAACTGCAGCCACAAAAATTATTAACTACTTAATAACCGAGATTGAGCTCGTTACGGGAAAATCTCAAATTGAGGCCTTGCCGTATTGACCGAGCGATAGCGAGGTCAATATGTTAGGCCGAGGTCGAACGAACGGTCGAGGTATTAAGATTTTTATTATATGGCTCATGAATTAGAGAAAAGAAAAAATTATTCGAGCGGAAGTCGTCCATTTACATCCGGAAATGCGCGCGTTTACCGATTCATTCATCGTCTCAAACCCAAGGCAAAACTTCAGTGAACTTCACCACTGCATTACGTAATCCGTTAAAAAGGCACATTTCTTTGCGGGAAAAATGATTATCACAGCCTCAAAAAGGTATTTTAGTATCGTGGTGTCACAAACTTGATGGGGGAGTTTTTCCGACTTTTTGTGGCGAAACGTCAACGCATATAGAAAAAACAGAAAGTGCTTCAAAATAGTCCAGATAGTCCAAACAAACGGTCTTTCGGTAAAGAAAATACTAATGCTTCGGAATGCACTGCTCAGAATAACTCGATCCTTGCATTCGCTTTCGCCAACATATCTTCGCCTTCTCCATTCTGGGATTTATCGATGAACTTTTCAAACCTTGTGAACGCCTAAAACTTCCTGCAGTTATCAGAAATACCGCTGGCTACAGAAAACGCCCGATGGTTCACATCTGATGAACCTGGAAGCTGGTATACACTAGCTTGTGATAAAGCAAGGGAATCTATTTGGTGAGAACTGTGCCGGAGTTCATTATTTCGGTAATTATTGTGACTAACACGATAACTTATAAGTTTCTTCATGGTGTTCTGCTCAGGATGCGCGACAGATCTGCCGATGGTACCGGTTTTTTTCACTTAGCGATTTTAGCTTTACTTAGACTCGGCAAACTTTGATTGTTTTTCACTGGTGCCTGCCAAGGTTACCGGCTACTAAGTCAAACACGGCTTCTATATAAATTTATTAAGGAAAAATCTCTAAACTTTTAGCTACTCGGAATTCAATTTACTTTCTCTTACTGTTTTCAATCGGCTTTCATCGTTTCAATGGGCTTGAATTTTCAGAGCCGGGCTCTTCCTAATTTGCATAATCCGTAATCGGTCAGCGGTCATTACGGCTGCATAATGACCGGTCAGATCTCGCTCTTAGCCAATGAGAGCGCGTGTTATGTCGGCCAGAAGCCAAAGCCATATAACAATCTCCCGTAAAGCCCACAGGCCAATCACGGGCCTGCTAAAAGGTCCTAAACAAAAGCAAAAGGAAATTAAGAAATCCACTGCTTTTTTCCAGAAAATTGTAGCGACTGAAAACGATGATTGAACACTCTGAGAGTGCATTCTGTTACCCTGACGAGATAAAATTTTAGGAGAAGAGAGAATTCACAAAGTTATATGGCAAACGAATTGGTACCGGACAGGACGAAGGAAACCGCCAGGAAGAAACTAAAACTTTCTTCGACGCGCAAAAAAGTAAAGCTTAGCAAAGAAAACAGTCAGCGACATTTGGTAATTAAGTTAGTCAATAAAAAAATTAGTGTGAAGAAGAGAGCAGAGAGAGAGAGAGAGTGGAGAGAGCAGTGCACTCTCACCAACTAAATTTTGAATGTATGTATGTAAAAGTTGTTTTTATTACCGAGAAATGATCAGGGCGAGGACTTCGACGCCCTAAGTTTTTTCTAAGTATGTAAATGTAATTTGCACTGTTCATTACCGAGTAAAGCTCTTAGCATTTTTTTTCTTAATTAGTACTATGACACTTTTATGGAACATTTCCATAAGTGTAAATACCGCACTTCGGGATAACCTCTCGTTAGGAAAATAGAGGCCATGTACCCCCCAACCAAACGCAGTGGCACTAATAAAATGAAATAGCAAATCAAAATCAAAGTAGAGCTTTACTTCGACCACAAGCACTTCACCAAACCGAACTAATTGCACAACAATAAAATAAAACGAGGAAATGTACAATATAAACACAATATGCATATCACCTCATCTGCGTATCGAACAGCAAATCCCTTCTCAATGAAGGATGACCGAATGAAAGAGAGGATGAAGAAAATTCGTTTAAGCCTGCAGTGTTAAAGTTTAACAATTATTCACGCTTAAGAATAGATTTGAATATCACAGTGTATATTTTTGCCGACGGCTTAATTTAGCTTTGCAGTCATTTTATCGGCGGTAGCTTTACCAGTCTTCGATCAAATTAACCTGGAAATTCACCCAAGCATTTCGCCAAACCGAATAAATTGAGCTAACAAAACGAGGAAATACCTTGTAATCACAATATGCCAATATTCACATAGGAACGTCAAAAGTAAATTTAGCAAATCCTGTTCGCTTCGGATTAAAATGGTTTGTTGACCTTTCATGGTTTAACAAATTTTTGCCCTCTAGGAAGCGGCTGTGCCAACTAACACAGAGAAAACTTCAAAACTCACCCAGCAGCGTTTAAAAATACAGTTTTGGTTAAGCTTATTTTTAAACGTGAGGTTATAAGTTGACGACGAAAATCGACAGAAAACTTGATTTGTTTACAATATGCAACTAACAACAACCTCCACAAAGCCACTCACGTGTTATTGTTTAGAGATGAGCGAAATTAAAACGATGTAATTAATAAAATGCCTCACAGCATGGCTTCTAATAAGGAAGACTTTAAAAAGGATTCCTATTGAAAATAAGCTTATCTCGCCGAGGCAACTTCATAATTTTCATGGCAAACGCCACAACAAAAGTCACTTACCGTAAGTTGGCAATTCACTTCGGCCAGTGTTTATCTTCCAGGCAGAAACTTGCAGCAAAAGTTGTGAAGACTGAACTGAACTGAACTAATCTTTTCGATAGATCAACGAATCAACCACTTCTTCCCGATGTGTTTTCTGTTTTGTATTTTTTCTAAACACACAGACGCGTTTGATTTCTCTTGTTCGTCACCTGATTTTAATCATGTGACTTTTCTTGCTCGGCTGCACAGCATCTCGAAGCGCAAAATAACTTGGGAAGTTCTGTAGTCGTCGGATAATTCGCCCCTTTTCTATAGTCCTCATTAGCTTTGCTTCACGGCATTGTTTGGTATTATTTCATCTCCTTTCTCTAGCCCTCGACTCGTTATAATTCACGGCATTGTTCAGTACTGTTTCACCTCCTTCCCCAGCGCTAGCCCGCTCTCTTTCGCAATCTTCTTCGCTACTTCTTTGCCTGTTAATTCTGTTTCTGTTTTCTGCTTCAGTGCAACCCCATCTTAAAAACGTTAGC